TCACAGATATATCCCTTGGGTTTCATTTGAGCTGTTTTTGAAATTCCACCTTTATTTTTCTAAAAATTTTAAGATAATAAATTTTAAAACATAGGAATAAAGTGGGATGCTTCACTTGGGCTTTGGCTAATGTTTCCCCCTCGTGCCCTACACACACACACACACACACACACACACACACACACACACACTTTTTCTTATCTGATTGGTGACACAGATACATTGTCCTTTACTTTGAGCAGGATGACACCTTTCAGAGTTAGGAGACAAAACCCTCGGTGATTGCTGCCAAATGGTTATTATCAGGAGCCAGGAGCCAGGAGGCTTGCCTGAGCGGCTAGATGGACTATGGCAAAGGCTGTCCCTTGGCCCAGGCAGTCTCTGTGAAGGGGCAGCAGATGCCCACAGCACCAGCGAGGGCCCAGAGATCTACTGCAGGACATAGCCAGGTGGCTTCTTCATCCTGTCGGGATTCTAGGACCACCTGCTTCCTCAAAACGGTTGGCTCTTGAGTGTGGAAAACCAGAGAAGGCAAAGTGTAAACATCCTCTTGCTCATTTTGTGGATGGGAATGCTAATTTTCAAAACCAGCAGGGCTGTTTAAGATAATGTGACATCTAACTTTGCAGAGAACAAGGCAAAATCAATATACATTCTAGAAAAACTCTTGCTTCGGTTGAAATACTTCTAGTAACTGAAGTTCTAATTCAGAAAATAGCATATTGCTGCTCATCTTCCTTTTTTATATACGATGATGAAAACACCTCCTTTGCTTCAGTGAGCTTGGCACAGGTTTTCCTGGATTTTTCTTAATAAAACATCTTGTATTCATTCTTTCCATCCTGGAAATAAAACTAGAAAATGTGGACCTAATGTTATGTTGAGCCATACCACAGATTTGCTGTTTGGCTAAGGACCCCCACAAGCCCTGCTAGGACCAGCCGACCCAATGATTCCTCCACAAAGTCTAATCTGAATTATCGACGACAACACAGAGGCAGGGATAGTGCATTTATTTTTCCTTTTAGAATGTGTAATATTTTTTTGCAGTGATTCTTTTTATTTAGCTTTTAATCTTGTTTATATTTTGAATGTGCTTTTAAAGATTTTGAAAGCTTTATTTTAAGCATAAATTTTTTAAATTTAGTTTTAAATTTCCTTGAGGAAAAAAAAGTGCATTTTCTAAATCATTACTCTTTGAAATGAAGGCATAATTTGCTTTTGGAAGGTTTATTTACCAGTTTATATAGTTTATGATGTCATTCCTGAAGTCCTGACAAATTTCTTTGGGTATATCTTTAGGTATTTGAAGAAATGATTCTATTATTCTCTGAAAGCTTTGCGTTTGGCAAACTGGAAAAAAAATTGTCATTCTTTATATGTTCAAATCTGGATTAAATTCAAAGTTAAGCCTATGGATGCTATTATGAAAAAATAATTTTTTCAAAGTTGAGAAAATCAATTTCCTGGAGATGATGTTCTCTTGATAGGAAAAATCCATCAATATTCCTATGTCAAATGCTGATTTAGAATTTAATGTGATAGATGATAGCTATCATAAATTTAGCATTGGGCCCCCAAATTGACTTTTTAAAAACTACCTTTACTATATGGAATCACAAGTTATCAAATAGTAAAGAAAATAGATAAAGGCAATGCCCTGTACTGTACAGGATAGGATTTAATGTTGACTATCATCAATATATTTCACATTAGTAAATATGCTTTCTTCGTTGTCTGGCAGTGCTCATCCAGCTTTCACAGAGTGAACTCTCTTATGATGTAGTTTAGGGAGGGCAGCAGCAATGACACTGGAGGACAGAATCTATGGCCCCCTTTGGTCTGTTCTTTCCTTTCCTACCAGGTGAAGGTATCATGGGAATGACTGTCTGCTGTGAAAGTCTGGCATTGGCCTCTGGGTGAACTTGGGACCCGGATGCTACTGAAGATTACCCATGATAAGAACTCAGGGCTGTCCCCAACCCTTTAATCTTGGCTGCATCCTTCCTTGGCTCAGAGCTCCTGGACCCAAGTGGAAAGACAATAAGGAGGGAAGAGGCAGAGATAATCATTCTGCTAGTTGATTGTTCCGCCCATATGCCCAAGGATCCAAGGCAGCAAGTGACAAGCCCTTTGAGTGGGAATAAGAAGTTCCTGCCGTATGGAAAAAGCTTGATCTGCTCTCAAAGGAGACGAAGCAAGCAAAGCTTTATATCTACCATCAGGGATGCCCGATGAGGTCCATGACATTGCTCAGGGCTTCTTTTGGCTTCATATCTACCCTGGGTTCAGAGATCAGGACCAAGGCTCATCTTCCACAGCATCTAGAAAATAAGCCAACCTCTTTTCTGGTTTTCCTTAGAGTTGTCCTACAAGTCTTCCCTGGTGGGATAGTTTTTCTACTTCTTTTTCTCAACCATTTACATTTCATTCCTCTGTGAAGCTTGGCTTATTTTGGAATGATCACAGTTGGAAAGTGGGACAGTGTATGCTATTCTGTAAAGGGTCTATCAAATATGCCTCTTCTCTGGAAAAGACACCTTGGAGACAAGCCAGTATTCCCTGCACTGCCAGTGGCTTCTCTTTGGTTTAGATCTCAAAGCAGCATTTCTGTGGCAGGTGTTGCTGGGTCTACGGCTTGAGAGAGGTCTTGAGGGAGAAGAGTCAAGAGTTCCTGTCAGATAGCAAGTCTAAGACCTCATAGACCACTCAGCCTCTGGCTGTGCCCTGTACCAGCAAAAACCTCAAGAATCCTGTGTGGGAGAGGCACTTTTTACAGGGATGCAGAAGGGGACAACAAGAAACAGATCTGCCTCAAGTGTGGGTGGCAACACCGGTGGCTGGGTATTCCTAGGCTGGACACTCTCAATGGCTCCAAGTGACCATCATGGGAGGCTGTAGACAGTTACATGGCCTGTAGCATTCTCAGGATCCACATACTGTTTGCAGATGTTCTTTTGGATCACCTACACATCCATATTTGTGTCCTTTTCTCGGTTCATTAAATCAATTTGTATAATGTCGCGTGGAAAGTTACAGAATTAGAAATAGACCAGGGTGTGGGGAAGAGCAGCAGGCTAGACCTTGGCTACTCCACATAGCAGAACTGTGCAGGACAGGAAGGGGCAGCAGGAAGAAGCACTGTGGCAGCCCTAGTGATATGGAGGCCTGGTGCAAGGAGACAGCTGGCAAAGAGCTAAGTCCAAACCAGACTTGATGAACTCCCTCTCTCTTAATAAGCTACAGTGACTCTTGTGAAGTCTTATCAGGGACAGGGAACTTCTACTTAGTATTTTTATCTCTATTTGGCTCACAAATAAGAGGTTAATAAAAGAGGTGCCAGGTGTGGCAGCACATTCCTGTTGGCCCAGCACTCAGGAGGCCGAGGCAGGTGAACTGCAGCAAATTAGAAGACAGTCTGGGCTACCCAGTGAGTTCAGGGCCAGACTGAACTACCAGTGAAACTGTCTCGAAAAAGAGAACAACTCACACTTTTGCATTGTTAGTACGGTGACGGCAATCATGTTTTCTTCCAGGGTCTCCTGCGATGTCTGTGAAGCTGTAGTCGCAGCCAGTGGCTTCTCTTCAGTTATGCTGTTTAACTCTCCGTGGATAGCGACCCCCGCCCCGGGCTCCCCGCATTCTCTACGCATGTTCAGCACTGCACGTGCTTTCAAAGAGACAGCTATCTAGGAAGTACTCTGACTCAGTCACCCCCCCCGCCACACCCCATGCCCATGCCCAGCGTTTCCAGAGAGGCCCTGGAGAGCCACACCTTCCAGTATCACACTCTTGTGTAATCTGCCCTTCCCTTGAGTTCCAGCTGTCCCCGTGACTTGGCCTTGACGTGTAGTGTGTGGAAGTCATGACTTGGTGTCACTTCAGAGATTACTTAGAAGCATCTGGACTCTTGCAATGCTAGTTCTGGAGATGCCAATTGAGTTCTAGGAAGTGTGACCATCTTGAGACTTTGTGCTATAAAGAAGGCCGAACTTGCCGTGTAGAAGGGAATGCTCAACCCTTCTCCAGCTGTCCACCATTCCACTTGAAGAGCCAGATAGGACATTGAGCCCAATCAGGCACTGACATATTGCCATTTCCAGGTGCTGTCTGGCTACAACTGTGAGACTCCAGGAGAAAGCAGTCACCTAAGCCCAGTCAACCACATAATCATGAGAAAATACATTTCCATTCTTTTTGCTTGTTTTTGTTTTTTAGAGGCAAGATCTCAGTACGTAGTTCAAGCTGGCTGTGGACTTACTATGTAGCCCAGGCTGGTCTGGAACTCACGGTGATCCTCCTGCCTCAACCTTCCCAGTGCTGGGATTGCAGGTATGCGCCACCATGCCTGGCTAATAAATTTCTATTCAAACCACTATGTTTTGTGGTACTTTGCTACACAGTAATAGAAAAACCCACCATCGCAGGGCCAGACAACCAGAAAAATAGCAAGCCATTTTGTATATCCATCTTTTGTCAGCTTCCCTGTCTTGAGTGTGAAAGAATGACTTTCTTCTCTTCTTGGGGCTTAAGGAATATGGGCTTACTGATGGCCATAAAGACCAAACTATTGCACTTGGAGTCGTGATTGCTAAGAGAATTTCGAAAACATTATGCTGTAAAAAGTCTCTTTTTCCTTTTTCTGACTGGTACCCATCACATATGAGTGTCCTTTTGGACATCACACTGTCTGATAGATACACCCAGTTTACTGGCCAGGAAAGTGCTTCGTTAGCAACACATAACCCGGGTAGATCTTCTTACAGATGACGGCAGTAAGAATAAGAAAATCAGGGCTAGGAAAAAGGAAATACACCTGGTCTCTTCCTTCCTTGGCACTGGCTCTCTCCAATGTCTCTTCCTAAGACCTAATTAAGGTATTTCTTTTTCTATTGTTGCTTCTGTTTTTTTCAAGGTACTTTAGTGTCCTTTTCTGTTTTCGAAAGATGCTGAAAAATCCTGTTTCCCCAAATTCAATGACACAAGGTTTGAGTTTTCAAAAGGAACATTTACTAGGAAACTAAAGGGCAACCAAACAGAATGCAAGAGAACAGAGGCAGAGGTACAAATGGGCTGAAGGTGTTCAAATTTATAACCAGCTTCTGGCCACACCTATACAGGCCAGGCGAAGCTTTCCAGACACAAAGCTACTTGCCTGCCGTGTGCTGACTGTCTCCACAAAGCCACCTTGTTTCATCTCAACAAGCCAGTAGCATACTCTTTAGTACCCCAAGGATGCCATCTCTGGGCAGGAAGATCCTGAGATGGGAACAACAGGCACAGCTGCCTCAGGGTCTTCAACCCTGGCTTCCATTCCAAAGGTCATGTCAGTGTTTAATGGGATGGTTGCCTGCCACTATCTACTGGAGCCAGTCTGGTTTCTTTGGGGCCATTCTTCTGGGCTCATCTGCCTGGATCTAGGGACAATCTTTCTGTTTATTATCTTGCTGGCACTAACCCTTCATGCTTTGGTTCTAAACACTGGTATAGTGGAGGGATAGGCAGAGGGAAATCTTGGTAAAGAAAGTGTATCTTTTTTCTCATGTCACCAAACACAGGCACAACTTGGATTCCTTTTGAATCCCTGTGGTTAAAAGCCAGTAAGAGCTGGAAATGATTAGGCAGGCTAGGGAGTGTAATAATACTGCCTCACCCAACTAAAGGCCTCCACCCTTTTTAGATCTGACATCAGGGTAGGGTTTCTTGTACTAGGCAGATGTGGCAGCAACAACTTTCTGACAACATCCAAGGTTCCTGTTTCCACTCAGTCTCACATTAAAATGTTAACTCAAATGAATATAATGAGTTTTGTAGGAAGGTAAACCACAATCCAACTTTGGATTCTGCTGCAAAGAAACTGCATGAAAAAGGAAATGTTATCTTGGAGTAGATATGCAAATGTGTGGAGAGGATGTCTTGTACCATAATGGGACAGAGAGAGGACCACCAGGAAACAGCTCCCGGCCCCCCTGGGATATGCTGAGGCCTTTGGTTTCATTTCTGTGGAGGCAGAAGCAATGAAGACAACGTGCATACATGGCAGTAAATTGGTCGGCGGGAAGTGAATAATGAACGAGCCACCCAGGGAGAGCCCTTGACCTTCACTCTTGTAGGTATTTCCAGTCCCCAAGTGCTACGAGAAAGTGATATGTGTCTGCATTGAGAATAAAACCTCCATATGTGGCTGCCTGAGCCTAGACTCTGGGCTACTGCATATGGAAATATCTGAAAAGGCACTCAGGCCAGTTAAGCCCCCAAACTGTGCCTTCTGTTCAGAGGACCCTGTGTCACCTCTGTGATCTCATATCATACCATGCTACGCTTCTCTCGTGAGGACGGACACTAAATTTCATTCTAATAACACCAGTTGAGAAGAAGTGGCTACTGTCTACCTAGAAAATAATGTTTGAGAACCTCAGAATTCAGAATCTGGTTTTGGCAGAAAATAAGAGCCATGGTCAACTGGTACTTTGCCATGTGCGTGGAAGTGGGCAGTGACTTTGCTGTGAACTAACCCTCCTTGCACTGGAGTTTCTCCAGGGGATTGGCCTGCTTGTCCAATTATTCTCTTGAGGCTATTCTTTGTAAAACTGGAGTACTTCATGGGGCGAAGCTATTCTCTGAAGACAGCCATTACCTCAAAGGTAGCGGAACTTGAATTAAGATCTGCTGCCTATTTAGCACCTGGATATATTTTTTCAATATTCTATCCTTCCAGGGCATTCAAGCAAATAATTTCACGTCAGAATGACCATTGCCAGGGCAGGTTCTATGTCCCCATTACCAAGGACCTTATAATAATCACTAAGAATCTTGCTTCTCCTGGGATTCTCACTGTGTCACTTGCTTTCTTCCATCGTCCAATATTGGTTCTTGGCAAGGAGAGATGAGCTTCCCCTACACACTTCACCTTGGGCCATCCAAAGAAGGTGGCTGGACCATTCAGGTTCACCAAACCCAATTGGGAAAGAGGGCCAGGTATTGCTGTGATTACAGCTGAGCATTTGGTCACTGGAGTTGTCCGAGTGTTGCTGGATGGAAAAAGTTACTGAAGATCATTGTTGGATGGTCGTCCTACTGTGTTCTTAGAACAAGCTGTCCTCTTATCCACAGTCATCGTTTCTGTAGGAAGAAGAAACAAAGAGTGGCTTGGTTTTCCATTGTACATTTTTAATACGTACCAAACAAGTGTCAGTACTGTGATGGATGCTGGGAGTATAAAGGCCATGAGCAGGATGCTTGCCCTGAATTCAAAGGACTTACAAAGGATATGTGAACAATAGAGGTGAGAGTAACTGCTGTAGGAACCTTTGAGGAGTTTGAGGAGGTCCACTGGAAGGATTCTGAAGGATAAGTCTTGAGTTGGGCCATTGAAACTGAAAAGGAGCCCATCAGCTGAGAAAGAGGGAAGGCTACTGCAGGCAGAGAAGCCTATGCAAGGGCCAAAGGTGAGGAAGAGCATGGTGCATTAGAAGCATAGTCGGGATAGGGTGACTGGACTGTAGTTTGAGGAATGGGCTGGTAGCAAATAAGACTGGACTGGAGAAAGGGGTCAAGAATGACACAATATCACAACATCCACTCCTTCTGGCTTTCCAGCTGTGACTTATGGGCTTTCTTAATGGAGTTCCAGACTTAGATTAGCAGATAGTTTAATCTAAATTAGCACACTCAGGTCAGTATTCCACTGAAATTCTACTCAGGGTATTTTACAGTACAGATTACGGATATTAATGCTTCAGCCATAAAAGAATCTCAAAGTCACTTCCACGGACATAGTAACTATAAACAATTATACATAAACTATAAAAGGCAGAAAACATCCTCAAGCTTAAATTTATGAACTGTTTTAGAGCTGAAAAGCTTCCATGTGAGGCAATCCTTCCAGGGGACTGAGTAAAGTATTAAGAGCTGGAGTGTAGGCTGTAGGGGAAAAACCATGTCTGACTGCAGCCCTTGGCTTTGAAGTATATGCATGTGTGTAACATGCACACACACATTCCTGAGAAAATGAGTATTGATTTCTGAGTCTAACAAGAACAGGCGAATGGACATTTGTCTTCACATTTTGATTCAAATATAAATTTCCTAGGCTGAGAACTACCCTGGAACGCCTTCCAAAGGGTTCTACTTTCTAGACCATCGCTGGTGTCAGGCTCTGGGTCCCCTAACTTCTCACTCAGCTGTAAGACCCATCCTGAAAGCCTCAACTGCCGGTGCCTAAGTCCTTCCCAATTAGGGAAGGCAAGCCATCAGGAGGGCCAGCCCCACCAATGAATGTGGTTGGGAATTAGTTGAGCTATTAGCCAAGGGGACCACGTGCCATCTTCCTTAATTTTGAATACGCATTGTGGGCCAGGCACTAGGATATAAACTTTACACATCTTTAAAAGAAGCCTGTGAGGTTCTTCCCTAGAGCACAGAGACATAGAGAGATTGGTTTATACAAAGCCAAACTGTGACTAAGTGAAGGAGGTTCAACACATCTTTAGATAGTGGGTCCTCTCTACCAGAGGTCTTCCAAGAGAACTTTCTTAGGTGTAAACATTCTAGGGAAACTCAGGCACACAAATCAGGTCTGAAAAAGTTCAGTTGTCTCAGGACAAGGGCAATTGAGTATGACATGAATAAATTATGCTGTTACTCACCACCCTTTTTCTGTTTTGGGGGCTAAGACTGAAAAAAACAGAACCAAACCAAACAAAATAACACATTACAACATCTTTCCAACTCTTTTTTTTTTTTTTTTTT